TTGTACTGCATGTTGTAGCCTATGTTACATTTATTGCATGATGATATTTGTCCTATATTTGTACAAACCCTTCAAATTTACATTCAAGCGTGAGCGGGGTTTCAGTATTGCTTTGTTTGCGTTGATTGCACGTCATCTTGGATTCCACCCACCGACCCTAAAAAAACGAGACCAAAGTTTAGAAACAACCTGTCTATAACTTAACATCTCTCAAGTAAGTTAAATATATTAAAGTCAGTCAAACACAGAACCAAATGTCACGAGCAATAAGAAACTTACTGAAGCATTGCTGCGCTCTCTCTGATCTTTTCAACAGGACATAAGCCGCAATGATGGTAATGAGGGCGGCTAGAAATCCTCCAATCACATATCCGATGAGTTTCGCATAGTAAGAATCATTCTCTGAAAGACACACACAGAAAGAGAGAGACATGAAGGCATTTGTCTGTTCACTCTTAATTGCTTTTAATTGCGAGTAACATACCGTATACATAAAGGTGTCCGATTGTGTCATCAGCACCTTTAACCCTGCACAAAAAAACTGTGTTGTTGTCATCTTCTGATGTTCCTGCGACTTCCCACGCAGCTACTTGTCCACCGCTTTTAGTAAAACAGTAAGCTTTCATTGACTGAGAAAAGGAGAAATATTTAAGATTATTTCATATCATTTAGATGCTATGGAAGCTGTCCGCTACTGAATTAAAAATAAGAAAGTTAATTGCGACTTTTTATCTCACAATTCTACGGAGGCTTAAAGGGATAGTTCACCCAAAAAATTTTAATCTGTCATTAATTACTCGCCCTCATGTTGTTGCAAACTTGTAAGACTTTCATTCATCTTCAGAACACAAATGAAGAGATGAAGAGATCTCTTTTACATGAAATCTGAATGCTTTCTGTCCCTCAATTGACAGATACGCAACTGACACTTTGACCCTTCAAAAAGTTCTTAATGAGAACATAAAAAGTGACTCGATCGCTTTTTATGATGAATTGAATTTAGGTTGATGAATGTGACTAAATTCAATCTGTTCATCATCTGAAGTGATCAAGTCCATTCAGTAAATTTGGACAAAACCGCTCAATTCATATGGATTAGTTTTACGATCTCCTTATGAACTTTTTTGAAGTGTCAAAGTTGTAGTTGCTTAGCTGTCAATGGAGGGACAGAAAGCTCTCAGATTTGATCAAAAATATCTTCTATTGGTTTCTCAGACTGATCTAATGACAGCGTATGTATGACACGCCAATTCGTATTTCCATTTTTGGCGTGCTATCAACACGCATAATCGCTTTTCAGCGTGTTTATAAACGCCGTTGACTTAACGTTACATTTCTGTATATATATATATATATGACCTACCCCAACCCTGTCCCTAAACCTACCCGTCACTGGAGTTAATACCATTAATGAGTCTTCCCCTACCATCCTAGGAAAAAATATCGCTCCCCAGATGTAGATCTACATTTTGCTTTGTTTTGGTCGGACTTCTAACGGCGTGTACATACACGCCAGTGATGCGCGGGTTGATCCAAAATGAGCGAGTGCCTGTCTACATTTAATAAAAATTATTCTAATATCTAATTTTTTAAATATAATTATTTTATTATAAAGTATTACAATTTAAAATGACACAATCCATAATTTTGTGACACCCTGGAAGTGACATCATCTGGGCGTTTTCAAAAGCATCGTAGAAGTAATCAAGTTATTTTTTTAATTGCAAATATTGTAGTGTTGACTGCTTTTGCCAAGCTTGCCCATTTAAACATGTGATCCAAGTTATTGTAGGGGGAAAAAAAGAGTTTTGGGCCCAATTTACAATCATCCCAGGATGCACCACATGAATATGCTGATGTAACGGAGGCCAGCTAGTAGTTGCTGTGTAGTAGTAGCGACAGATGCTAGAGGCTGCAGTCTTTAGCCTCCTTGTTAGAGCGCCCGACTCTCACGCCGGAGACCCGGGTTCGAGGCCCGCTCGGAGTGGGGCGAGTAGGACCCGGGTGGAGGGGTTACACTGAGCTATAGGCTAATCTAGGCAAAGAGTTACTACTTTTAAAGCTATGTTTTGATGGTTGATCAGCGCATTTGTGTTTGCATTTGACACCGTTATTATAAAATGTTTTTAAAAAAGTCAAAATAAAGACAAAATGTACACCACAATATTTTAAAGAGAAGTCAGTTCTTCACCTGAGCGGGTAAGTATTTGGTTTCGTCTCCTGGACAACTCACAGAATCATTGACCTTCGAACCCATGATGTAAAATCGAATTTTTTCCGAGTTCAGGTCACTGTAACCACATTCAAAGGTGACAGTTTTTCCAGTCTCCGAGGTCACGTTTTGAGGAAGTACAATGGATTTCAGGCCTAATGCAGAGGAGAAGCATCAGATCACAGTTTAAGCAGAAGGGCTTACCTGATTTGACTAAGAAATGATCAACTTTTTGACTATTCTAATGGCCACACCTAGACTCTTAAAAATAAAGGTTTTTTATTGGCATCAATGGTTCCTTAAAGAAACTTTGACATCCATGGAACCTTTCTGTTCTACAAAAGGTTCTTTTAAGTGGCTTTAAAAATATTTCTTTTAAGAACTCTTCACTGAAAGGTTCTTTAGGGAACCTTCTATGACATCACTGGGAAAACTCCCTTTTGGAACTGTTGTTTTTAAGAGTATATACACAAAATAGACAGTAAAGTCAATATAAAAGATTAAATTAAAGTATACTCTCATTTCAAGCCATTAAACAATAGAAAGGTTTGAAATATCCTTCTTTACCAACAGCTATTTGTATGTTTTTATCCCATTACAAGTTTAAAAGTCAAGGATCTTGAAATGTCCAAGCATCCCATCTTTCATAATCACAGTAAGCATTCGAATGAAATATGAATACAGACCGTTTGTAAGCGTAGCAAACTGCAGCACTAAGATCAGGAGCTTCATCAGGTGGACAGCGGTTTGTATCTTCATCCTTCTCATTTTCTCAGTTGTCACTGGGCCACGAAAAGCCCTCTGTGTTGGTACAGTCCCTCGAGCGATCGCTCGGTAGTGGAGCGGATGAAAGCCGTGCTCGTTCTAGACACTGCGTTGAAAACAGCGTGGACGATGCTCATCTGCAAGGAAACCTTCCTAGAAAGTCTTAAGCTGGGCTGGGACATACCCTGTTCCAACCTTCACAGCGGCACACGTCGCTCTCTTTACACTTCCTTGTGTGCTTAGCACTGATTTCTTTATGCTTTCCCTTTCTGTGAACAACTATTTGAGTATGAGGCATTTTACTGCCAAAACAGTGATGTAAATTTACATCAGCCAGAAAGACACATTTTTTCCATCCAACTTTGTTTCAGGATTACAACATAAGTACCACCGTTCAAACGTTTGGGGTCAATTATATTTATATAGGCTTTTATTGAGCAGGGTTTCCACAAAAATATGAAGCAGCACAACTGTTTTCAACATTGATAATAATAAAAATATTTCTTGCGCAGTAAATCAGCATATTAGAATGATTTCTGAAGGATCACGTGACACTGAAGACTGGAGTGATGATGCTGAAAATTCAGCTTTGACATCACAGGAATAAATTACATTATAAAATGTGATAAAATAGAAAACCATTATTTCAAATTGTAATAATATTTCACAATATTAATGTTTTTACTGTATTTTTGATCACATAAATACAGCATTGGTAAGCATGAGAACATACTTTTGGCCATAAAGGGATGGACATGGTCAGAAACAATGCTCAGGTAGGCCATGGCATTTAAACGATGCCCAATTGGCACTAAGGGGCCTAAAGTGTGCCAAGAAAACATCCCCCACACCATTACACCACCACCACCACCAGCCTGCACAGTGGTAACAAGGCATGATGGATCCATGTTCTCATTCTGTTTACGCCAAATTCTGACTCTGACCATCTGAATGTCTCAACAGAAATCGAGACTCATCAGACCAGGCAACATTTTTCCAGTCTTCAACTGTCCAATTTTGGTGAGCTCTTGCAAATTGTAGCCTCTTTTTCCTATTTGTAGTGGAGATGAGTGATACCCGGTGGGGTCTTCTGCTGTTGTAGCCCATCCGCCTTAAGGTTGTGCGTGTTGTGGCTCCACAAATGCTTTCTGCATACCTCGGTTGTAACGAGTGGTTATTTCAGTCAAAGTCGCTCTTCTATCAGCTTGAATCAGTCGGCCCATTCTCCTCTGACCTCTAGCATCAACAAGGGACTGCCACATACTTGATGTTTTTCCCTTTTCACACCATTCTTGGTAAACCCTAGAAATGGTTGTTCGTGAAAATCCCAGTAACTGAGCAGATTGTAAATACTCAGACTGGCCCGCCTGGCACCAACAATCATGCCACGCTCAAAATTGCTTAAATCACTTTTCTTTCCCATTCTGACATTCAGTTTGGAGTTCAGGAGATTGTCTTGACCAGGACCACACCCCTAAATGCATTGAAGCAACAGCCATGTTATTGGTTGATTAGATAATTGCATTAATGAGAAATTGAGCAGGTGTTCCTAATAATCCTTTAGGGCGTTTAGGCGAATGTATAAATATCATTTAAACATTGCGGATGGTTTTATGTCAAGTTTCAAAAGCACAAAAGAAACCACAAATTATTGTTTTTTATTAAAAAATTATGTCTTTATTTCAGTATTTAAAAGGCATATATTTCGATTTATATTTACATTTAGATTTGTTGAAAAGAATTGAAAAGGTCAGAATTTCTATATTGTACATATATTCATATCAGCTACTTTCATAAACAGGAAAATAAGCATATAATAAGAGCTAAATTGTCTCGTTTGACTGATTCGACAGGTTTAAGGGAATACTAAATTACAGAAAAAAAATATTCAGAAGGTTATGGTACAAAATCTGGATAACAAACAATGTAGCAGCTTATAAAATTAGACATAATCTTGAATTAACCAGTGCATTGCATAGTAAAGAAGCTGTTCATATATGTACATCAATATAAGCAAGAATACTGACTGCCACAGCTATGAGTTTATTCATGCTGCTCTCTTAACCAGTCTTTGGTTTGGATCTTATCAATGCTTAACACAGAAAATAAAATACATGTAAAATACATGAAGTGTGAAGTTTTCATGAAACATTTTCACTGTGTTGGCCATATAAATTTACAAAACCCATTTTAGTACAGCACATTTCACAGAATCCTGTATTATTCAGTAAAATCCTATTTATTATTTCATGTACTAAAGATTTGACTCTTATGCCTATATTATTATGTATACAGTATAGCATACACTGTACTGTACCTGTGTCACTAAACAGATGATATAAATACTGTATTGAGATAAAATCCTTCTTAGATTAGGATTGTGATAAAATAAATTGTATTTTTCTTGCTGTCTGGAGACCATATTATGTCTGCAGCATTTTATTTCTCAAATTAAGAAAAAAATGCTTTTTTTTTAATTATTAATCTTTTATTAATTTTGTATCTGACTAAAGCCCAACATGACCATATATTTAATTATTCTTGGTACCAAACACGCTGTACAAACCTGCAATAAACTAGGACAAAAATATTTATTATTTCATTTATATGTTTTTGCATATATTTAGATAAATGCGCACACACACACACACGCACACGTAAATGAAATAAAAAATAAAAACGTATGTCCGGCCTAGGAAAATTGACATCTTCACCCTTCATTTAAATATTATTAAAAATTAGATTTTGTAATTGCATAGTTGTATATGGAGTCAATTGTTTTAATCGTGATAACGCAAATTGTGCAGACATCATTTTTGGCCAGGCTGTCATACAAAGAAATTATGAATGCATACAAAAACAAGAGAGAACTAATGAAATCTTAATAATTGATTATATTGTCAATGTTCGCTTTTTCCTGTGAGTTTGTTGTTTTTCTATGCATTTGTTTAGCTTATTAAAACCTGTTGTTATAGTTGGCGAAATAATTGGCCAAATACCTTAACCAAGTTTAGTGTTTTGTTCTACACTCATATTTATGATTATATAAGGGTGGTATTGGATTGGGCCAAAATTGCAAATGTGATTACCATCTTATGGTACTATACTTCGGAGACAGATTTTTTCAAAAAATAAAAATAAAACACATTGTATGGTAATTGCCAGCATCAGAAATGGTTCTTGACCTCCATGAGTCAAATATTGCAAAAGATATTTGTCCTTGAGACAGGTTGATCATCACAGAACATCTGATCCATATCAGACGTCTGATCACAGCCACAGATCCGAGAAACCAATCTGACCTCAACGGGCAATATTTTAGTCACATATAACACATTTTTCCACTCTAAATGGCTATGGTGTAACCGCCCGTGCCATTTTGTGCACTCCTGGGGAATTCTCATACATCTATGGAGGTAAACGTGAGAGAAAGGTGAGGTAAAGTTTGGTATAATGACATGTAGATAAGCTGATGAAAGTGTGCCACTCACCCTCATGGCTGTAGAAATCCAGGGCAGAAAGCGTGACACACGGGTGTAGACGCCGGGCTTCTTGGCCATGGCACAGCCTGTGCCCCAGCTTACCACCCCCAGTAAACGATAGCGGCTGGTCTTAGACAGGACATCCGCTGCTACAAAAGGACCGCCACTGTCCCCCTGACATCATATGAGAGATGGTATCATGCTTTCTGTCCGCAGAGTTCATTTGAAATAACTACTAAATGCTAGTAATTAGTTATAATACTAAATTATTACTAATAACGCTACTGCTAGCGATTGCCGCTGCTTACTAATGGCTGCCGTACGGATGTAAGCCCAAGTAGACCAGAATGCGCATGACGCGCCAATTCAGACCCGACTCCTCCACACACAATTGAGCCTACAGGCTGATAGAGGCAACCGTGGTGGACAGTCAAGGTGTCATTCTTTCCGTTACATTATGGTTGGCTCTTTCTTAAAGATTTTTTAAAGTTAAAACCTACATATAGCCCCTTTAACAAATGGGCCTCACTGAAGTGTTTCTTAGGTTTGTTTTAGTACTATTCTATATAATTATAGTATATTTATTATTTTTATATTTTACTTTTAGTTTTTTTTTCAGTTTGTTTTACAGTTTAGTAATTTTGTTGTGCTTCTTCATTTTTGTTAGTTCTTTTTTAATTTATTTCAGTTTTAGTTTTAGCGATTTTAGTGCTTCAACTTGGTGGCAAAGGCTGGTCTTACAGAGGACCACCACCGCTGTCCTCAAGAATAGAGCCCATATCAGTTCACAGCCACATTGGTTCTAAATGTCTCCCTCTAGTGGCGGTGTGCAGTGCTGCTCAGTGATTTCCAATCCTGGTCCTCCTGGGGATCCACCGCTCAGCACATTTTGTTTGTGTCTCTTATCTGACACACTTTGTTCAGTTCACAGAGCTCTCCCCTAAAGAGCTGATGATCTGAATCAGGTGGGGTAAAAAAGGGGGGAAATGGGGACTATGAACAGGGGGCCCAGAGGCATGATTGGAGGGCCCATAAGGATCTCCCCGATTTCTACAGAGGGGGAATATACACCCACCCTGGAACACAGACGCAATAAACTGTACAGGGGGCCCACTTAATGTAGAGACACCACTGGTGGTGTGTCCCCTGAAACTGATGATGTCATAGACTGGTGGATAATGTACCTGGCAGGAGTCGGTTCCCCCCTTCTCATAACCAGCACAGAACATGGTGGTGGTGACCTGGTTGTCATAGTAATCAGGACCATTGCACACAGTGTCACTGATGATGGGCACGTGGGCTTCCTGGAGGACGTTAGCTTGAGTGCCTGGCAGAAATAAAGACATGTGAAGGAGGAAGTCAGAGCGAAGCACAAACAAAAGTTTATGACTTCTACAATCCTTAAGTGAATATTGAGAGTTTTCAACCTCGTGTCTTAAAAAGAGTGTAAGGCATTACACTATTGCCTTACTCATTTTAAAAAGTAGTTACATTTACATTTTTTTCTGTTGTGACATAGGACAATGACATGATAAGTTATAAAAATTATAATTGTGAATGTCATGGTACATTGTATCCTGTGATATACATGCATTTGCATGGAAAAGGTATGGTAACAAATTTATGACATGGCATGAACATTATCTGCGAATATAACCACAAATACATTTACACAGGAAACATCCATGATATTCACGATTATAAACAATTTTAAACAAGATTATATATAATTTACTACTATGATACAGGCCAATTTGCCTCGTTTCTCTTGTTTTCCATTGGTGTTTCAGTTGCAAATTGGCAGTATTTATGTGCATTAATCTTATAAATATGATCATTCTGACATGACATGAAGGCTGGCATGCTCTCAATTACTAATACGTGACCCTCTCAGTGTTTATGAACAAACAGGTAATGTGTTTATAGTAAATGAGAGCTTAGCAGGTTAGTGGACAGCATCATGAATAAATATTTAATACATACAACTGTTCTAAAAGTATAACCATTTTATTATCATTATATACTATACAATATTTACTCATATATATCTTTATTATAGTATTATTAAAGTAATATTTTTAGTTTTATTTTATTTTAAGTTTTAGTAATTTTATATTCTTTCGAATATATATATATATATATATATATATTCATTTTTATATTTAATTTATATTTATTTCAGCTTTAGTTTTAGTAAATTTGCACTTACAAAACTTAAATTAAAATGAAAAATCTGAAATAAAATAAGTTAAATATTTTTGTTTACAGTATATTTTACTTTATTTATTGTATTATTTAAACTAACAAACATTTAGTTAATAATTCTATGTGAAACAATAATTAAAAATGAATAGGTGTACTTATGGAAATAATATAGTTAAAATACTGAATGTAATGTAACTTAAAATGAATGCAGTTAAACAGAAAGGGCTCAGATTTGGGCCTTAGTTCATTTAGGACATTTATGTATCTTTTATAAACATACCATAGAAAAATAAAGCTCACTGGTTGGAATCGCGAGACAAAACAATGGCACTGAAATATTGTAAGTATATTTGCCAGTGCAAATTGCTTTCAGTTAAAACAGCTCATGCATTTTAGTCTGGGACTAGCCTAAGCCTTATCTGTTGAACCAGGGATGCAAGTGCACTGCATTTTCAATACTATATTAAGTATATTGTACTAATATTAATACTATTACTATTATTAAGGGATAACAACACTGGAAGTATGTGACTGAATAAAACTCTTTAAACATAACCAGATATTCCCCCACCAAGAAAAGTATTTTATACTTAAGAATTAATTTAAGTGCTTTTATGTGCTTAACAGTACTTAAGAAAGTCTACTGTTTATACAAACTGAGGGAAGTTGATATTATTGCCTGAACTGACAGCAATCCGCACACGCGGTTCATTCAAGCACAGGTCACTGACACAAAGGTCAAAGAGACAGACAGACAGCAAGTCTCGATTTGCACGTAAAGATGATTAACACTGTAATACGGCACAACAGTGACCTTTAAATAAAGACACAGAATGAGACTTTACTAACCATAATACTCCATGTTACCCCATCCAGTTACTGTACCTATCTGCCCATCCGCCAAACGCTGGCCGTAGGTCGGAAGACACACTGGCTGTATATAATCTAAAACACCAAAAGAGATTATGATTAAATGTCAAATAGATGTCTCCGTGATGTATGTGTGCTATCTGGGAAATCTTTTCAGAATAAAATCCAAGATATGTCCTTTTAACGTTCTGGTTAACTGTACAGAAAACTGTGAATATGAGCAAAAGCTTTGTCCTTCAGGAAAAGTACTGTCTTTTGTTTTCGACTCAAGGCCGCGTGGAAATAGAGGAGCTTTGTTCTCAGGAAGAGCAACCTGAGACCAGAGGGAGGCTTTACTATAATGCTGTGTGTTCACCCAGACAGGCCTGAAACATACCACGACTACCTTATGAAAAACACCGCAAAACACACTCCAATTAAACTGCTGCTAGCAAAGATCCTTGTTACACAGAGACATATCTTTTATAAACAAATTATTTCATAAATAATACCTTTGTGTTAAGCTACCTTTGTGTTAAGATACTATTTAGACACTTTTATTCAGAGAGGTTAAAGCAAATGTTTCCAATCATTTTTCTGTCCACACCAAAAGCAAAAAGGCAGCCAATCAGAACAAATCTGATATTTTCTATATATATATATATATATATATATATATTTACCGGATTGTGACCAAGAAAATTTCAATGTGCAGATATTTCCTGAGTTACACTTTTTAATGGTATTTTTAATGGTCCTTTTAAAAATCCTGTTGTCTAGAAGTACGTTGCAGCTACATGCCAACTCTCATTATCAGTAATAGACTGTTAGGTTGTAGGGTTAGTAGAATAAGTTGACTTGCAAAGTGACTTATAGTCAGTAAATGTCTGTTGGGGAGACAAAGTGTTGGCAGATATTAAGCAGACAGCTTATATTAGGGCTGGGCGATATGGCCAAAAAATCATATCTCGATATTTTTTGGTCAAATGGCGATATACGATATATATCTCGGTACTTTCTACGTTTTCTATTTAGATAAATAAAATCTTTATATTAAAAAAAAAATATATATATATATATATACAGTATATTCACATTCGGCCCAATGATATCCTACAAACAATGTTGATATTGAAGGATATGGAAACAAATATAATATAGGCTATGCAATATATTATGTGCAAAAAGCTTTTGTTTTTATATTGACTAAAAGCTAAACTAAAAATGAAAATAAAAACAAAAACAAAAGCACAAACTAATTATATTAGCCTGCATTTGATTACCCCATTATAATCACTTTCACTTTCATTAAAAATATATACTTGTAGGTTTAAAATTCCACATATGGCACATTTATTTTCTCCAACAACAAATATTTTAGCAATATGTTTATTTTAGTCAGAATTATTGCGTACTACGTAGTACTATTCACGCGCATGCGCGCGCCGGCGCTCGTTCAAGGAAGCATGAATTTTAGCGGAGATTCACTTGCAGAAGCTCGTCCTCTTCTGACATGGACATATTTGTTGTGAAATGGACATATTTGCTTTACTTTCTAACATTTACAGATGGAGAATATGTGAAATGTAAGTTGAGCACTGAGGAAAGCACCACATCTCAAACGATTAAACAGCGCAAGTATATCTGTCAGTCAGCAACAGTGTCTGTCAGAGCATTTGACAGGGCGGCAAGCTGCCTTAAACTTGTTAACTATATCAAAGTGATTTTGACGCAATTAATATAAGCTTGTGTCATGTTTAGGACAAATTGTACTACGTAGCCTAGCTACTTTCACTGCAGCAGCTCACACTGCAACCTCCGCTATTTTTCAGATGTGCTCATATCAAACTACTGTATCGATATAAACGGTATTGCCTCATTCCATATCGTTTCAAAAAATATAACGATACATCGTACATATTCGATATATCGCCCAGCCCTAGCTTATATGCAATGTTACTTATAGTCAACAACAAAAGGGGACCATCAAAATAAAGTGTTACTATTTTCAGTAATTCGGTGTAAAAACTCACCAGTGAACTGCAGAGGTTTTGTCAGCGCCAGGACTGCAATGTCACGACTGTTGTCGTCAATGTTGGCGTCGACGAAGGGCAGGTAACTGCTGTGGTAGACAACAGTCTTCACCTCGGCAATCATAACGTTCTTACGGATGGGAGTGTTGTAGATCGATCCCATCAGAACCCGCCAGCGTGACACGTGACGATACCTCCTGAGGATAAAAGCCTGCACTCTTAGAAGAAAAGGTTCTATATAGAACCTTAAAAGGTTCTATCAGCGCTATGTATTTGGAACCCCTAAAAGGTTCTATACACTCTTAAAAAAAGGGTTCCATACTTGGCCAATAGAACCTTTTACCAAAAAAATGGTTCTATATAGAACCATTTTGGAGTTCCATATATGAAGCGGGGAATGTAACCATTTCTGGTTCTAAATAGAACCATTTCTTCTAAGAGTGTGAGAGTAAGATCTTGCAGATAGATAGATAGATAGATAGATAGATAGATAGATAGATAGATAGATAGATAGATAGATAGATAGATAGATAGATAGATAGATAGATAGATAGATAGATAGATAGATAGATAGATCATGATACAAAATTATTGCAGTACTCCAAGACGTATGGTAAAAGGTTAACAAAAAATGTACTGTTGATTAAAATGCTAACTTTGATATTACATTGTGGGTTTAATGGTGCTTGTAACCCAAGGACAATGGTGACACCAGAATACAAATATTCATGATTCTGAAGCTGAAAATACAGCATTATTTTAGATGAATGTGCTTGCACTCTTTCACTGACTAGATATATTTAAAATAATGTATAGGCCACTTTACTGGTAACAGACATTTGGCATCATCAGGACCCACAAATATTCACCCATTGCATTATTATAATCAACATTATATATAGTAGTTTAATGTAAAATAAACTTGATTTTTTTTCTTACACAGTAATTTTTATTTTGGGGAGACTAGCTACGAGACATTTTGTCACTATCCATGATACGTATTGTTGCATTTTTGTATTGTGATATGGCACGATATATTGTTACACCCCTAATACATAGATAGACAGATTTTAAGATGTTGCTATTGCTTACATGTTTTAGCATGGTTTTAAAGATATAGGCATAGGCCTACAATCAAAGCTGGACAGATAGACGTTGCTACCCATTTTAGCATGGAGCTAGCATGTTTTCGCTTGTGTCACAGTCTTCGTCTTCACCTGTTTGTCTCGTCATCTGCACCACGCTTCCCCGGATCCTTTTGTTTCCTCTCCAGATCTCACTCCCTCATCAGCCACCTGTTCCTCGTCTGTTAATCATCATTTTCACCTGTTTGCACTCCATTTAGTTTGATTCCTCTGTCTATTTAGTTGCAGCTTATTCAGTCTGTCTTTGTCAGTCGATGTTGTTCTTACGTTGTATGTTCCCCGGTGAAACCCTGTCTTCCTGCCTGTATTTTTGAATAAATTAAGTATCTTCATGTTTATCCGGACTCCTCCTGTTGCTTCAGCCTGCACTCCTGCACTCCACCCCCGCACCGCGTGACAGATCGACTGACCACCAAAAAGCAACATGGACGCCGGGATTTTCCAAGAGATTCTACACCCGATTCGCCGGCCCCGTTTGATGCTCGTTCCCCGAAAGCCTGCGCTTACCGTCAGTCTGGTCGAGCCCGAGCTTTCCCCGCTGGTTCCGTCCAGTCCTCCTGAGCATGAACTCCTGTTTCGGCGCCCCCGCTTGATGCTTGTTCCCAGAAAGCCTGCGCTCACCATCAGCCCTGCCGAGCCCGAGCTTTCACCGCTGGTCCTGTCCAGCTCTCCAGAGATTGAATGCTCTTCACCGCTGGTTCCGTCCAGCTCTCCAGAGATTGAATGCTCTTCACCGCTGGTTCCGTCCAGCTCTCCAGAGATTGAATGCTCTTCACCGCTGGTTCCGTCCAGCTCTCCAGAGATTGAATGCTCTTCGCCGCTGGTTCCGTCCAGCTCTCCAGAGTCTGAATGCTCTTCGCCGCTGGTCCCGTCCAGCTCTCCAGAGACTAAATGCTCTTCACCGCTGGTCCCGTCCAGCTCTCCAGAGTTTGAATGCTCTACACCGCTGGTTCCGTCCAGTTCTTCAGAGACTGAATGCCCTTCACTGCTGGTTCCGTCCAGCTCTCCAGAGACTAAAGGCCCTTCACCGCTGGTTCCGTCCAGCTCTCCAGAGACTAAATGTTCTTCACCGCTGGTTCCGTCCAGCTCTCCAGAGATTGAATGCTCTTCGCCGCTGGTTCCGTCCAGCTCTCCAGAGTTTGAATGCTCTTCCCCGCTGGTTCCGTCCAGCTCTCCAGAGATTGTATGCTCTTTACCGCTGGTTCCGTCCAGCTCTCCAGAGACTTTATGCTCGTCACTGCTGGTTCCGTCCAGCTCTCCAGAGACTGTACGCTCTTCGCTGCTGGTTCCGTCCAGCCATCCAGAGACTGAACGCTCGTCACTGCTGGTTCCGTCCAGCCCACCAGAGACTGTACGCTCTTCACTGCTGGTTCCGTCCAGCCCACCAGAGACTGTAAGCTCTTCACTGCTGGTTCCGTCCAGCCCACCAGAGACTGTCAGCTCTTCACTGCTGGTTCCGTCCAGCCCACCAGAGACTGTAAGCTCTTCACTGCTGGTTCCGTCCAGCCCACCAGAGACTGTCAGCTCTTCACTGCTGGTTCCGTCCAGCCCACCAGAGACTGTAAGCTCTTCACTGCTGGTTCCGTCCAGCCCACCAGAGACTGTAAGCTCTTCACTGCTGGTTCCGTCCAGCCCACCAGAGACTGTATGCTCTTCACTGCTGGTTCCGTCCAGCCCTCCAGAGACTGTATGCTCTTCACTGCTGGTTCCGTCCAGCTCTCCAGAGACTATATGCTCTTCACTGCTGGTTCCGTCCAGCCCTCCAGAGTCTGTGTGCTCTTCACTGCTGGTTCCGTCCAGCCCTCCAGAGACCGTCCAGACCGTCCAGCCAGAGACCGTCCAGACCGTCCAGCCAGAGACCGTCCAGACCGGCCAGCCAGAGACCGTCCAGCCCGTCCAGCCAGAGACCGTCCAGCCCGTCCAGCCAGAGACCGGCCAGACCGTCCAGCCAGAGACCGGCCAGACCGTCCGGCCAGAGACCGTCCAGACCGTCCGGCCCGAGACCGTCCAGACCCTCCAGCCCGAGACCGTCCAGACCGTCCAGCCCGAGACCATCCACTCCCCATCTGCCCTTCACCTGGGGCCTCAACCCAAATATTTTTTGGGGGGGGCCCAGTGTCCCAGCCACGGCCGCCTGAAGGGCTCTCACCGCCGTGGCCGCCCGAAGGGCTCTCACCGCCGTGGCCTCCCGAAGGGCTCTCACCGCCACGGCTGCCTGAAGGGCTCTCACCGCCGTGGCCTCCCGAAGGGCTCGCACCGCCGTGGCCTCCCGAAGGGCTCTCACCGCCACGGCCACCCGAAGGGCTCTCACCACCGTGGCCTCCCGAAGGGCTCTCACCGCCACGGCCGCCTGAAGGGCTCTCACCGCCGTGGCCACCCGAAGGGTCCTCGCATCCTGCTCCGCCCTGGCCACGCCCTCATCCTGCTCCGCCCTGGCCACGCCCTCATCCTGCTCCGCCCTGGCCACGCCCTCATCCTGCTCCGCCCTGGCCACGCCCTCATCCTGCTCCATCCTGGCCACGCCCTCATCCTGCTCCGCCCTGGCCACGCCCTCATCCTGCTCCGCCCTGGGGGGCTGCCTGCGCCTGACCACGTCCTCCACAGCCTCCAGGGCGCCCACCCCCCCTCCCCGCTGATGTTACGGCGTGAGGTCACGCCTACCGGGAGGGGGGAGTGATGTCACAGTCTTCGTCTTCACCTGTTTGTCTCGTCATCTGCACCACGCTTCCCCGGATCCTTTTGTTTCCTCTCCAGATCTCACTCCCTCATCAGCCACCTGTTCCTCGTCTGTTAATCATCATTTTCACCTGTTTGCACTCCATTTAGTTTGATTCCTCTGTCTATTTAGTTGCAGCTTATTCAGTCTGTCTTTGTCAGTCGATGTTGTTCTTACGTTGTATGTTCCCCGGTGAAACCCTGTCTTCCTGCCTGTATTTTTGAATAAATTAAGTATCTTCATGTTTATCCGGACTCCTCCTGTTGCTTCAGCCTGCACTCCTGCACTCCACCCCCGCACCGCGTGACAGCTTGCTTGTTCAAATGGAACTATAGCTTGTTTTAACTTGTGTCTAGACATTTTCAACATTTTAACACATTACTAGCATGTTTTAGCTTGTTTCTAAAAGTTTTTTTAACATGTTGTAACACATTGCTAGCATGTTTTACAGTAGAGTAGGACTTGTAAAAAAAAAAAAAATCAAGTAACCTTCATTTATTTAGTCCAGATAGATACTGTTTTGGCTGTATATAAGATCTACAAGAAAGTCATTGTCAAGAAAGTCAAGTTTTTGATTGATTAAATATTATTAGTTGTTAACTATAGGGGCTGCAAACACAACACAATTTTCAACTGAAAACAAAACTTTTAATACGTTCTGAACGTTCGAGAATACGGGTGTACAATGTGTGTCACTCACTCAGGAAAGCAGTGTGCAGCACTGACAATCCAGCGATCGGAAATGATGGATCCACCGCACTGGTGAACTCCATCATACTGTAAGCTGACCTGCCATGGCCACGAACCCTGGCGAGCATCGACTCCCCCCACGATCCGCTCTTCAGGCAGCATACGACGGCCACAGTCTACAGCGATAGAGAGTCAACAAATCATGGAGCCTGCTTGCAGTGAAAAAATATTCAAAATGCTACAAATTGAGTTGTAGCACTTACCCTGACAAATCACCTCTAGTATCTGACCTTTGTCACATTTACTGAAACAGAAATGAAACATCGGAATGTTTTAGAGAAGACTATTGCAACCGGTTCTTAGCGTTAAATAATAATAATAATAATCGTATTACAATTTAAAAATCATGGCCCCTATTGAATGAATTGGGCTAGTTAAATGCTATCAAAGTGTCTCGCACGCCAGAGCGATTGAGTGTACGGCATGCACTGTGACGAGAGAGTATGCATCAACTCATCTTAGTTAAGGGAATAACATGGTTTAATATGAAAAAAACGGTGGAGTATCCCTTTAAAATGCAAAATGTCTAGCTTGGTATAGAGAATGCTAACAGAGCTTTCTCTAGATATTATAGCCCCCCTCAGTGTAGACAATGGCTAAAGGGGAACTGTTTGAACGTTTCTTTTCTGAATTCAATTTGGTGATGCTCAGGGTGCATATATTTATATTTAATCACATGAAAAGGTAATGTCTTACCAAGGATAAAGGGCTGTTTTTATCTTCTTCCCGTATGTTAACTCGCTATCTTTCACGCAGAAAAAATCTCGGTCACCACCATTGTCAGGAGCACATGTGGCTGAGACATTTACTGCTCTGAATGAAAAGAAAAAAAATGTGAATCAAGACATAACTAAAACAATGATGAATTCCAGTTAACAATGGGCTATATGCACGCATAAGTTCCGCATTTGACGTAAGGATGCTCGTCCATTTCCGGTTGTGTAGATTAAAGCGGAGGAAAACCGGAGAAAACGGGATTATGGCAGAGTCTTCAATGTTTACTGTCCTCCCGTCTTTGAAACGAAACGTACATACGTTTAGATGTAATTTTATATATAGTTATGTTTATTTAATATAATTTTAAAAAGAATCATAAACACAACGAGGGGTGTCTGTTTTATCTGTTTTTGTGACTAACGTTTCATTAGTATAACCATGGAGTATAAAATTCAATAGAAATTCTCTGTATTGCATTGGACTCTATGATCGGCGGAAGTTATCGAGCATCCTTAATCCTTCACCGGAAATAACGCCGTGCATAGAGCCCATTGAATCTGGCTTGACTATATGAATGTCTGAGACACAGTGATGCTTGTTTGTTACCTGATGAAGCCCATCTCCTCACAGCTGATGTTGGCGATGAGCTGGTTGACGCTGGACGAGCAGACGTGTCTCCATCTCCGCTGCGTGGAGTCGAACACTCTCAGCCTCTGGTCAGCTGCACTCACCTGCACTACAGGGCATAATGTGGACAGTCCTTGGGTTCATAATATCTTTCGGCAGATTCGGTGAGCATAATTGAAACTTTTTTCAAAAACACAAAAATGACCTATATACATGTACAATAATAGGGGTGTAACGACACACTAATGTCACAAATCACAATTCGATACGATCTTGCGATACAATATTATTTCGATACTCCAAGACATGATAAAGGGTTAACAAAAAATGTACTGTTGATTAATTTGCAAAATTTTATATTTCATTGTGGGTGTAAACGAATAGGTTTGCACTTGGTGCTGGTAACCCAATGCACAGGACTGGTGACGCCAGAATAAAAATATTCATGATTCTGAAGCGCAAAATACTGAATTATTTAAGGCCCCGTCCACACTACTACGTTTTCGTTTAAAAACGGAGACCTTTGCTACGTTTGCACCTCCCGTCCAGACTAAAACGGGAAAAACGAAGACCTAAAACGGAGAAGTTTAGAAACGCTGCAGGTCCGTTTTGCGTTTTGAATCTCCGGACGGCGTTTTAGTGTGGACGAGACAAAACGTAGGACTTCAGAAACACTGACGCAGGGGCTGACACTTGGCTCCATGATTGGGTGTTATCAGTCATGACTGTTTACACCGGCATGCGCATGCCCAGTGTTAGTGAATGGTCACGTGATCCACGTTTTCAGTCGTTTTAATGTGGACGGAGATCATTTCTAATACGCAGATAAAACGCTGGTGTGGACTGAGATCGTATTCGTTTGAATTCTCCGTTTCTTAACGAAAACACAGTATTGTGGACGGGGCCTTAGATGAATATGCTTGCACTCTGTTACTGGCTATATTTGAAATAATGTCGGACACTATTTACTGGTAACAGACTAACATTGTTCTTAAGAATTTTTTTGTTAACTTTACTTAATGTCCAATAATTTGTTGATCTTACTTAAAATTTCTTAGTAATTTGTACTGTTTGCATGCTATGCCTTCGTTACTCAGAAAAACCTTGTAAACTTTACTTGACTGGTTTGAGTACCATTTTGAGTACCATATATATACACATTTTTAATGATTTAAATAATTGACCTTTACAATTTTTTGAGGTCTCTTGTAAGTATAACCCCAATAAAATTGTAATGGTAAAATAAAGCCAAACATAGAAAAACAAAGCAATTAATTTATTCATGCCGCAATGCACTCTGGGAGGACACTTCCTCAGATCACAGACAGATTTAAGTTGACTAAACTTAAATGGATTCAGTAAGAATAACTTGCAATTAATTAAGTTATGCTTACTTAATGAAATTAAGGCAACGAGTTTGCATAATAAAATTAAGTAAACTGAACTAATTGGTTTTTACAGTGTATCAGGACCCACAAATATTCCCCCATTGCATTATTATATTCAACATTATATGTAGTAGTATAACAGTACTGACACTAAAACTCTTTAAAACTTGATTTTTTTCCCCCCACACATTAATTTGTATTTATACACAATACATATCGTCACTATCCACGATACATATGTTATACAGCAATATATTGTGACACGATCGTTACACTCATATTAATATATTTACATGTAATTAAAAATGAACAATGCTTACCATCAAATAATCCAGTATCTTCTGTTGTTCTAAGATACGTGACTAAAAAATCAAACAAACAAAACAAGTGTAATAAGTGTCTGAGAGTGCAGTATTCCATTAAATCAGCCGTTATAGAAGCAACCCACAATTCCCAGAAAGCCGAGCTGAAAGTCTTACCAAGGGCCCAGATGGCGGCTCCCAGTCCCCCCAGTATGATCAAGATCACTGCGACCGCAGCGACCACACGATACGGACTGAAGATGGTCATCCCTGGACTTCCTGTAGGACAGGACAAAGCATGTATTTAATGCAGTAATGTGAGATTTTGTGAATGTTAAAATACATGCTTGTGAGCAAACACATAACTCATGACAAAGCTGATGAAAAGAACAGAACCATGAACAAAATCAATAGTCCAAAGTCATCAATTCCTCTCTGCTAAAGTAAACGGAGACTGAATCTCAGTGTCATGATCAGCTCTCTCTCTCCACATGCACACACACACATTGGGTTTCCATGTTTTATGAGGACTTTTACTCTACAAACTGTAATTTCATTCCCTTAACCCTAAACTATACCCATCACAGACGATTTCTAAGCTGTTTTCCTCAAACCAAAAAATTATTTTTATCCACATAACATAGATAATACCTGAACCACACACTCACACACATAGAGAGAGAGCAGTGTCAGCAAGACAAAATAAATGCAACCATGTCACTGTTATTGACCAATGCCAAAAAAACATATCATATCCAGACCTGCTTGCACTGATCATTTGCAGTTCTACCATTTACAAGCCCGACTTTATTATACTATGATTATATGCTCAATCAATAGCCATTATCATCCTATATAAAACACACCGAATATAAATATGACTTGAGATGTTTATTCTGAGAAAAACCGCACGTCTCATGTGTTGTTAAATGATGTTAATGTTTCTGTCATGATAAGAAATGATGAATGGTGGGGAATCTGCAGCTTCCATGATTCATTGAATTGTGATTTCTAAGACCAAGTGCTGAGAATCCCATTCTCTAACATTATTTCTTACAATACAGGATGTAAGCAGTAATGTAGAGATTCCCAGTCAAATAAAATCTAACATGGTCATCTCATGTGAAGTGAAATATTAATCAAGCAGTAATAACTAACTGTTTATCCAACTCATTATTACTTTCCCAATAAATGAATTATGAAGTTGAAACTGTTTTGTTGAACTATGTGGAAATAAAAAGACGCAAAATTAGAACATCGACACTACCGTTGAAATGTTTGGGGTTAGATGTATTTTATTTTTTTAAGAAATTATTATTTTTATTCCTCAAATACACATTAAATCGATCAGTAAAGATTTATAATGAATGTAACAATGTATTACTGTTTCAACAAGAATATTGATAATAATCAGAAATGTTTCTTGAGCAGCAAATCAGAATACTAGAATGATTTGTTAAGGACCGTGTGACACTGAAGACTGGAGTTCGCACCACAGGAACAAATTACATTTAAAATATAATCAAATAGTTAAACAATAATTACTGTTTTTACTGTATTTTGATTAAATAAAAGCAGACTTGGTGAGTAGAGGAGACTTCTTTCAAAAACTAAACAATTGTACTAATTCCTTACTTTAGAAAATCAGTCATCTGTATGAAATGCACTTTATCCTTAAATTCCATTATCAGAAAGCATTTCAATATGCATCTGAATTATGAAATATTTTATTTATACACTCTAAAAAATGCTGGGCTGTTTTAACCCAATTTGGGTCAAATATGGACAAACTCAAACATTGGGTTAAAAATGTAATTTAAAAATCTAACCCAATGGCTGGGTTTGTCCATATTTGACCCAAAATTGGGTTAAAACAGCCCAGCATTTTTAAGAGTGTATAGATGTTGGACTGAATATATGAGAACTGTTGTAATTCTACTTGTGAAACATCTTGGTCATTGATACAAACTGTTAAACAATAAATAACCGCTGTATCAGAAAAGAGAAAAGGCAAAATGTGACCATCCAAAGCTCACCGTGACTCAACTGACCAGTGACGTTTTTTCCACTTTGAATTCCTATATTAGAGGTCAGAACAAAACTGAAACAGTGTGATGTTTTCCTGTTCGCTGTCTCCCGTTTCATTCCTGAGGATTTCCCCACTGCCTCAGACTTTTTCTACGCCACCTGCCTTGACCCATTTGACCGGAGAACAAGTAGTACTTTTGTCTGAGTGGGGGGTGTGTATGAGACCAAGCTTCTTCATGGTACACTGCTTTCTCTCTCTCTCGCTCTCTCTCTCTCAAGACCATCATACCTGGATAATTCATGTTTTGCGGACAAATTAAAACATCACACGCCTCTTTAAATGTGGTTAATAAATTAACATTAATCGAAACAAAACTGTTGTCAGCTCTAAAATGTTCTGTATCCACTGTAACAATATGTTTTGGTCTAGAACAATGTCTCGTTTTTAATGAGAGAATTCAAATAGATGGTCACCTGTGAGATATTAAATTTGAGCAGCCAGAAAAAAACTAGGGTAAACGAGTATAGTTTTATCTAAATCTAAATTTACAAGCTCGCATAAAAAATTGAACCACATCTGTTTTTTGAGAAAGATAACAGTGTATATATTCACAGTTAACCCTAATTTTCTTTTTATCCATTGTATAAATGAAAACAGCTGTATGGCCAAATCACGTCATGACATGTCTTGTCACCTTTTGGCCTTCTGTCAAAGTGATGCACAGATTCAGACCGACCAAAACAAATCAAGTACATGACCCATCACCGGCCAGCTGTTAATCTTTAACAAACCAGTCATCTGATGTCAAAAAAAGAGAAAAAAAAGAGAGAAACAGCTCAGCACTCACCGATCTTCTTCTCTGGCATCTTTATCCAACAGAAAACTGACTTATAAGCTTGGAATGGATTTTCCTCCTCCAAACTTTGATTTGCTGCTTCTTTCAGACCTGGAAATGTTTAGAAAAGCTTAGAAAACATAATTTAACTGCTGTCATGGACAAATATGGGTTAAGCAAGTTAAATAAACCAAAGTGCAAACTTCAGAGGGTTACAGACAGTGTTATTAACAATCACTGCAAAATTTGCTTAACATAATGCTATAAAAAACCAACAAATATTATTTCCTAAATGTACCTTGTGGCTATCATTTCTGCCATTTCTACTTACTTTTTAATGGGTCAGACTTGTTGAAGTGTATAGCTAATCAATTTACCACTGCAAGATTGTAAAATTGTAAAGTTGAGACGGTTTGAGAAAAGTGTTGAGAAAATTACTTTTTGTCTTAAGTATTTCCAAGTACTGAGATTTATTTTTAAATGTAAATGAAAAAAGAAGCTATTTTCACATCCAGTTTATTATCAGTAAAATCCAATTTAACGAATTTTGTCCTGATGGTCCGTTACATAAGCCAGTTAAAATAAAAATAAAACTGGAGATGAGGATTATTATCATTATTGGATATAAATGGACATTTTGGTAATATATCAAAATTAATTGTCTTATTTCTGGTTGTCACTATAATGCTCATAATAGTAAAAACAATTTTCACATTTACCTCTCCACTACAGGTCTTTGGATAAACTTTTGAAGTAGAAATAAAGAGATGACGCGGTAAATCAGTTGTTTAATCCAAATATCCGCGCTGATATTTCCCTTTCCCCGGAGTCCTATAGGCCTACGCTCTTTTCTTGTTTGTTAAATGACGCTATTCTCCGGCAGTCAGAACAGCTCTTCTCCTCACTCTCTCCGCTCTCTCTGTGCTGTTCGCTGGGGTGGAAACCTCCCTCTTCCGGCCAGTAGAGTCTCAGCGAAGCGCAGGTGTGTGTGTGTTGCGCGCGCGCGCGCTTGACAGGTGAATCTGTATGCGCGCACCCCATCTCAACTTCAGGAGCAGTTCAGCACGTCATGGAGAGGTGCGACGGCGACTAAAGCATAACCAATAATACAGCCATTTAGCCTACAGAACATGATACATGTGGTAAATGTGCTTTCTTGTTTGATTTATATTGATTTTCGCATATAAACACTGATCCTTCAAACTGAATAACGATAATGAATTTAAAAAGAATGTGAAAAAATCATACTTTTTATACTTAAAAAATCATTTTTTATGCCTATGTATTATTGATAACGACAGATAACATTAAAAATAATTATTATTGTAATAATTATTATTAATTAAATTATTAATTAATTATTCTTTAAATAAATTATTTTCATATATATATATATACACACATGATCTTTAGATGTGCCATATATGCCATAAACACATTAAATATTTAGTAATATTCATTTTAAACTGTTAAAATGAATAGCCTTATACACTCACCCAAAGGATTATTAGGAGCACCTGTTCAATTTCTCATTAATGCAATTATCTAATCAACCAATCACATGGCAGTTGCTTCAGTGCATTTAGGGGTGCGGTACTGGTCAAGACAATCTCCTGAACTCCAAACTGAATGTTAATTAAGTAATTTAAGCAAGTAGAGTAATTTTGAGAGTAATTTTGCTCTCCCATCAATATGGGCCAACATTTCTAAAGAATGCTTTCAGCACCTTGTTTAATCAATGCCACATAGCATTAAGGCAGTTCTGAAGGCGAAAGGGGTCAAACACAGTATTAGTATGGTCCTAATAATCCTTTAGGTGAGTGTAGATTGTAGTTGGTCATAAAATAACATAGGACGTATGATACAAAAATAAAAGATGCACCACATGAAAAAAGAACAAAAAGAAGGGAATAGGAAGTAAGTAAATGACGACAAAGGAGGAGGAGGAACTCAAAACCAGGCAAGGGTGATGTCTTCATTGCTCTTGCTCAGTGTGCAGCCTACTTGAGGGAGCAAACATGATTGTGAAGCTCCTTGCAGGCATTTGGATTCTGACATCTTTGATTCTATCAGGTGAGCCTTATAACATCAGAAGAGTTCTCTAAAGACTAAAAGTTGCTTTTCAGGTACAGATGGGAATGTTATTTCACTCATGCTTCCATTTCAGGCGTCCTTGCTGTCGACTGGATAGTGCATGTTCCTAATGATCCAGTCTATGCTCCTCTTGGGTCTTCTGTAGTTCTGCAGTGCACCTATGACTTCCCTGAGGTGTCAGAGCAGGGAGTACCACACAAAGTGCTGTCAGAGATGTGGTGTCTGAATCAAAGCCACTGCATCACTCCGAGATACGTGTACCACAGTGCAGGGATATTCCCAGAGCCCTCGTATCAGGGCCGCATCAGGTACTTTGGGCAGACGGGGAGCAAAAACTGTTCTCTGATGATATCTGATTTGAGGTCAGCAGACAGTGGCGTGTACATGTTCCGGTTCATCACCGACCACCTGAAGGCCAAGCTACCAGGACAGAGAGGAGTGAATCTACAGGTTACCGTTACACATCACATACAAAGTAAGAGCAGCTATTAACTGACATGTTAATATTTCAACACATACTGAGAAGTGCACTTAAATTGCACATTTTGATAATTAAATTTTTAACGTTTGCCAGTGCTGGGGTAAAATAAAACTGTAACACTTTAGTTTAGGGTCCAATTCTTACTATTGTTTATTACTTTTAAAGCACGTAATAATGCCTTATTCTGCTTAATCATATTCTGCATCCTTTAATAACCACCATAACTATTATAAAGCAGTTATTAGGAGTTCATTGAGGAAAAAGTCATAGTTAATGTTAAAAGTGAGAATTAGACCCTATAAACTAAAGTAATTAAATATTTTAGACCAAAACAACTAAAAGCCCATTCTCACGGCGTCACCTAATATCTGATGCTTTAGGCGCCCTTTAGCGTCAGTTAAATAACGCCCTAGGATCGCGTGTAACCCTACCCCTACCCCAGACCTAAACCTACCAAGGGGGTAATCCATCGACCGGAAGTTGAAGCCTCGCGGGAGCTGCCATCTTGTAGCAGAACTTCACTTGCGTTAGCATTCCTATTGACTCCCATTCATTTTGGCGTCACTTTGACAGCGAATAACTTTACATCTGAGGCGTTTGAAGACCCCATTTGTCCTTTATTTATTTCTAAAGAAACACAACAATGTATAAAATGCTCCATTACCTTGTAGCTTATGTTATGGCCCCGTAGAAGCAGTTTTAGTGAAAGTAGGCTAACGATTGCGTCATACCCACGCGACTCTCTGTCGCACAGTTGAGAAATTACCATATGGACAGGAGAAGAAGCTCGCACACAATCGTGGAAACGTGGAGGCAAAATGACAAAATAATTAATCAGAATACCTAGCAGAATTGTCTCCTTCTCCTAGCTCATGGACGGCTACTATTCACACTCTCCGCCTCTGTATGTTTCGGAAGGGAATGATTCAGATTTCTCATGCCACAGCATTAGAAGACAGATGGGTTGCTCTCGTCATATTACGTACGTAGTCAATGTTTGAGTCTGCGCGTCAGGGACGGAAGTGCTAAAAAATCGCCAAAAACAGGCTTCAATCGTCTCAATGGAGTTCCAATGAGATCGCTCTGTCCATTTCTTTTACTGTCTGTGAAACCTACCCGCGTTATCTAACTGACGCTTTTCCTTTAGCGTCAGATGACGCCGTAGGATCGCGTCATGTAACTGACGCTTAAGGGTGCCTAAAGCGTCAAATATTGAAGCATGGTCAAAAGGTGACGCCTTGGGGTGAGAATGTGTTGATTAGGCTATTTATATGGTAACACTTTACAATAAGGTCCCATTAGTTAACGTTAGTTAATAATATAGCCTAAACTAGCAATTTATATGTTAAAGTATTTATTCATCTTTGTTAACAAATACAACTGTTTATTAATAATTCATGTTAGCTCAAGTCCATAAAACTTTCTATTGTAATGTTTTATTAGCAAGTGTTGATACTAACATTAACTAAGATTGCTAAATGCTTTGTTAGTTCATGTTAACTAATGCACTAATGCTAACAAATGGAACAGTAATCTGAAGCTACCATTTATAATAATTGAATAAGGTCATTCTTCTGTATTCTGAAATAATTCAAATGTGTTTCATATTTTCGTGTCTGTTTTCCACTGTTTACTCTTAAAGCAACTTCCGTTGTTAGGCCAGTCTGTTGTTCAAGATGACATAAGAAAACGCATTTCCTCAAACGAGAGACACTTCCTCAGAGAAATCTGTCCAGCTTTCATGACTCATTCTTTGTTTTATTTAAAAAAAAAAAAAAAACAATTTAAAACAGTGACCAATCAATATGGCACACACACATTTATATGTATATTTGGAAGAGTTACATTGTCCTCAATTCCTCACAGCAAGAAGTGCATCTTCATCTACTGTTGGAATTGTGTTTGGGGTAATTGTCATCATTATCGCAATAGCAGGCATTGTGATATTCATCAGATACAAGTCCAAGTAAGCAAAGCACTTAATCAATGGGTTTCTTGCTTGTCATCATTACTGGTCTTATTGAAACTAATGGAAAATGGCTTTGTCTTTCAGGAGAGCGAGGTCAAGATCACTTTAAACAAGCAGTCAATATTTATTTTACCACAGAGGATGAGAAAAATAACCAGTGGCTGTGACCAAAACTGATACTGTCATTTCTTTTCTGTCTGTATGCTACTTTCACATTCATTTACAGCCTTTCTGCATCTATATTATTTATCTTTTTATATTATATTCTGCAGATCAAACAACATAATGTATGCTATATATCATGTTGTGTCTTACATTTTGCATGTTGCCGACATCATTTAACAAAGTAAAACATGTTCCTGGATCAAAATCTTTGTTGATTCTGGAACAAAATTCACACTGTAAAAAAAACATCACTCTGTAAAAAAATATTTTTGGTTTAACTTAAAAAAATAAGTAACCTGGTTGCCTTAAAATTTTAAGTTCATTGAAATGGAAAAATTGAGTTAATGCAATGGAGATTAATCACCAGAAACTCAAAATATTATGTTATCCGAACTACATAAATCTAAGTTGATTTGACAAAAGAAAAAATGTTGTGATTACAAATCATGAAAGTATTTTTTTTTTACAGTATGAGGAACAAGTTTATGGTTAATGTCAAGTTTAGGGTTACAACCAGTGTTAAGGGCTAAGGTTGCGAAGTGAGGACATTGAAGAAAGAGGAAGTCGGCGCATTTAGGCTTTAGAACAAGTGTATTAGAAGGTTGTTACGAATTCCACAGACAAAAATGGTGACAAATGAGCAGGTATACAATTGCTGAATCACATTAAGTAATTAAATACAGTGTTTTTGGACAGGAATTTTGTTCCAGGATCAACAAAAGATGTTGATCAAGGAACATGTCTTACTTGGCAAAAACACAATGACCATCCTCCACTGAACAAGAGGGACTGATCAACAGAGCCTGAAATAAATTAGAACAAAGAACAATAGTAGAAAGTAATGAATTTATGAAGTCAGCAGGAATTATATTATGGATTATGGATTCTCACATTGTAAATTATAGAAAACTGCTTGACGTCTGTTTTCTGGCATATAACTCAATTAACAAAGCACTTGGTACTGTGTTCACTGTTTAAATCTATTTAATCTATTTAACTTATAAATCGCTGTTTATAAAACCCAATTTTCCATGTGATTGTAGAATTTAGAATTTTGGAGCACACTTTGTGAATCCATGAACGCCTGTGTATTAGACCCTAATCGAACGACTGATTCCCCTGTGAAAGGAGAATTCTTACTGCTGCTACATCCATTTTAAGTAAACTAAAAAGTGTTAGTTTGTGTAAAAATTGCTGCTTGCACTGTAAAAAAAATATTTTCAAGATTTGTTATCACATATTTTCTTTTGTCAAATCAACTTTATAATAACTTATTTAGTTGAGATAACTTATTATTTTGAGTTTCTGATGATTAAATGAGTCTCCTTCATTGTATTAACTCACTTTTTCCAGTTCAATCAACTTCAAATTTTAAGGCAACCCAGGTTGCTTACTTTTTTAAGTTAAACCAACAATATGTTTTTTGCAGTATATCAACATGACCATCGCTGTGAGCCATGACACACTGTAAGATCTCTGACAATGACACGTTCAGTGATGTGAACTGCATTACAAGTGGGATTGAAATGGTGGCTACAAAGAAATCTCTAACATTTTTTGGTCATGGCTTGTCTTGAAAAATGAAGACAATTTGACAGTCGTAGTAGAAGTCAAACTGCAGGACTGAGTCAAATCTTCTGACACTGCCAGAATTTCATCTGAGGTCAAATTTGATTGCAACGGTCATTAATCGGCTGTTGATGAACATCTCAAACTAACGATCAAAGACTTCAGATTTTAGCCTATAGGAATCTTTTAGGATTTGCTAAATTTTTCTCAAATGGCAAAATCGTGGCCAAATTCATACAGTGTGGTCCTGGCTTAAGAAACACAGACATTCACATTACAGGAAAACAAACTCAAAATGTGACAAAAAGACTTAAAACATGACAGTATTGTTGCCAGAATGTATAAGTAAACAGACTTTATGTTATCATTGTAAGAAATTATTTTTTATTTGGAGCTTCCTGTCAGGAACAACCGTTACACCATGTCAATTAAATTAAATGTTTAAATGGGATTTTTTTATGATCAGTTTAATCAAATCTATGGGACAAGAAGTTCGCACCACATATTTGCCCTACTGTTCAAAAGTATTGGGGAAGTAAGATCTGGAAGGAAATTCATGTTTTTATTCAGCAAGGATGTATTAAATGGATCAAAAGTGACAGTAAAGACATTTATAATGTCATAAAATATTTCTGTTTCAACTAAATGCTGATCTTCTGATTTTTCGATTTAAAGATATCAGCAAAAAAAAAAAAAAAAAAAAAAATCAAGGCTTCCACAAAAATATTAAGCAGCACAACTGTTTTCAACATTGATAATAATAAGAAATGTTTCTTGCACAGCAAAACATCATATTATAATGATTTCTGAAGGATCATGTGACACAGAAGACTGGAGTAATTATGCTGAAAATTCATTCTCACAGGAATAACATTTTAATATAGAAAATTTAACAAGAGGTCGAGCACAAAAGACTCAAAAACATTTAAAAAAAATGACTGACCCCATAACTTTTGAACAGTAGTATCTGTTTTGAGCAACTGAAATTTTATTAGAGCAAATTACATGTGATTTCATCTACATGTGTGGTCTTTTTTCAAGTCTCTGACTTTCAGGCTACATCAAGTGGTCCACACATGCTCTATAAGTACATGTAGTTTAGAAAAAATCCCTGTGTGGTTTCACAATTCACTGGCTTTAGATTCCAGACTCTTCCATCCCCTCTCTCGGTTGCTTGGTGGAAACAACATCAGGACCATCTTTAAGCTTCTTCCCTCCATCTAGAGGTATGTTTGTGACCTGCACCTGGTCCATACTGTAAATTAAGATGGCAAACACAACATCTCTTGTTTTAATATGACAGAGGACTGCCGCAAACCAGCACACGTGGATGGTGTAATTGTGTTTAACCTGGGCATGCGAGAGAAATGCACCGTAATGTAGTTGACCTGTCTCTGTTCCTCAGTGCTCCGAGGAGCTTCTTTCAGGGGTACGATGGATGGGTAACTGCTTTCATACATCTCCTCTGGCTCCTCCTGAAACAGGTACAACATAAAACATGTGTCACATGACTTTGTACAGTATGGACCAACTCATATACTATGCATTCTTAATATCAAGACTACAATTAGTGCATTACAAATTACTCTACATGTGACAGTTGTGGAATTTCAAATTATTAGATTAAAAAATTATAACTATGATATAAAACTCAAATAATGACATACTAGGAAAGTCATAAATCCAACTATCTCACTTAAATCAAAATGATGACTTGTGTCAAGTTTGAATTTATCATAATTTGACGTAGTATGTCCTAATTTCCAATTTCATTTAACGTTTTTCTCAAAATTATGACTTAACATGTCATAATTATGACTATTTACTTTGCATATGTCATAATTATGGCTTATGTAATTAATTTGATAAGTTGACTTAGTATGTCATTATTATGGCTTCGTACAGTTTTCATACCATAATTACAGTAAATTTTGCAATTGAAAAAGATGAGGGTAAGATTTTTATGTTGAACAAAGGTGCTCAGTTTTTAAATGTATAACCCATCCTGAAAGTTGTAATGATTTAATTTGAGATTGGAAATTTAGCTAATGATAATTACAGTGTTATAATTTCATGACCATTTCTTACTAAAACATCCTTACACCAGCATACATACTTTTAGTGTGTATTATATATATATATATATGTGAATTGTGACACAGTCCAGATAGAGAATATCTAGACTGTGTCCAAATTCACATATTTAAACTAAGAAAACTTACCGGGATATCTGTCATTTTTGTGCTCTTGAAGAGAAACGTCTCTGAAGTTGATTCGCTGAACAGAGTTTCATCCATTGGTAAATCAACTACTGGTGAACACTGTTTTTTAAAAGGAAAAAGCCATTTGATTAATAGGCTAATTTTTTGTCGATTCAAATCCTATTATGACAGAATTAAATATATTAAAAAACATATTTACCTGTTTTTCTTCCTCACGATTTTCAGTGTCGACACGATGCATGTTTTTACTGCAAAAGAAACGTGAAATGATGTGTGTAAGACCAAATGAGAAGATCAGATATTCACCATTTTAGCACATAAACATACAATCACCTGATCATGACGACCACGGTCAATGAGATCAGTCCGATAGACACGCCCACTGCAGACGCCAATGCGATCACTTTCAATCGGCCTGGACAAAAAAAACACTTCAACTCAATCATGCACATCAATTACCTAATTAACAAATACATAACATCTAACAGGCGTAACTATATTTATTTAACTATATTTGGAAAACAGTTGTGCTGCTTAATATTTTTGTGGATACCGTGATACATTTTGATTTGTTTGAATATAAAGTTAAAAAGAACAGCATTTGAAACATAGCATAATAGCTGTCTTTGCGGTATCTTTTGATAAATTCGATGTGTCCTTGTGGAATAAAGTATCAGTTTCTGAAAAAAAAAATCAGCAGTGACAGCAATATGATAAAAAAAAAACATCAATGTTCTAAAAGCATTACATTAAAACATTACATTTATTAAAGAGTTTTTAAAGAGGTCTGAGTTTTTGCAGAACTACGCCCCCTTTGGTGACAAGCGAAACTGCAACCAGGTGTGCACTCTCATAGACCACAAACGCACACTTGCACGAGCTGTTCATAACCAAAGGAGCATAAGCTGCACAAATCTTTTGTTACAGTCATAATGTCTTCAGAGGTAATAAAGTTATAAATCTGGAAGTCATTTTAAATATATGAAAGGAAAGGCATTTGAGTAAATTACAGGGGAAAATTTTGTTTTTTGTTTCCATCTATCTCTATGTTGAACTGTTTTATGTGCTTACTCTATCCACTTATGATTGTATTATTATGGAAACACGTTCATAAACAATATAAGTTATAACTTTGTATAGGATCCCTTTTGAACCCTAGAGCAGACCGGAGATCTCTCCGTTTGTTGAAAGCCACTCTCGTCTTATTCTGACGCCTGGCACTAGACAAAAGTTTTATTTTCTTTGGCTTTTGCATTGGGGTTTGGAATGAACTACAAGCCGGTCTCTTTGAATCCATCTTCTACTTTTGTCGAAAGTTGACTAAAGTTTTGTCGCTCGAGTTGTCTTCGCTGATACGGACAATGGCGGCGAATACACAACCCTGCCAGACATAGCTATGTGAGCGTGAACGCGCATGACGTCACGCCCAGTCTCAAATTCCGTCCCGAATCCCTCTTATTTATTTTACTGAACAGGATTATAGAGGCAATCGCAGTGATCAGAGA